AGGTTAGCAGTAAAGTCTGTCGTCCAGAATAATGGTACGTTCTGCAGGAGAGAATGACAGTAGGATTTTGACGGCAAGACAGAGCAAGACAACGGCAGGTCTGACCCCAGCTTGTCCAAACAAAGGCATTTGCCAGAGACCATAAAGTATTCCTGGTGCTGTGAATTCTGTGGGATCGTAACTTTCCTTACATTTTTTCCCTTATTATATCTGAGTGTAATAAACTTGAAGAATCGAATACTAAATCAAAGCTGTGCATATTCATAGATAGATGGTGGTGCTTTAGCAAAGCAAATAGTCCCATCCTTTACACTGGTTGAGGTTAGCCCTGAAAGAGGCTGAATTTCAGGGAAAGAAAGGTCTTTCTCACTCAGTTTCACCCAAATTCATTACCAAATCATCAAAAAGGAGAAAAGTCAAGGATTGGTGGCTTTTCTTGATGTCCATTCCCTTCTATTCCAGTAGGGATCCTAAATTAACAGGCCAAAATGCTTCTCCTAGGAGGATTTCCACCTTGGTTCTCCCGCCCTGGCTAGTCTCACCTGACCCTCCCGACTCAGAGCTCACTCTTGTAAAGGTCACACATTGTACTTGCTTCACTTTGTCATCAGGGTATTTCATGACTTCTTTCTAACACTGTCAGGCTCTGCTTTTGTCTCTGCCTGGCAAAGGCAACTGTCTTTCCAAATTCCTCAAAATGTGCACCAAAGCTGATGGTCTGTGAGATTCCCCCATTTGGTTGCTGGGTATTTCCCACTCCAGTGGTAGCCGTTGCCATGGGATCTGGTGCATGGTTGGGCTGTGCAGGGACACCCACCACTCCTGCCCCCTACTCTCATCTTACTCCACCTTTTGCCATGTCAGTCCTGATCTGCTCTTCAAGATCCTCTGGGGACACGTAGACGTCCTCTTCTGGCGCTGATGACTTGGGCCGGCAGCGTCCACAGCAACAGTTGCAGCAGCAGCAGAGACAGCAGCAAAAATAGCAGCCCGTCAAGAGGCCGATGATGACAAACAGGGTCTAGGGGAAGCAGAGGCAGGACAGAACGGGGGATGAGGGGCTGCCAGTGAGGGGAGCACCCCAGAAGTCAAGCCTGTGCCCTTGTCCCTCCAGAGACCTGAAGACATCACAGTTCACTCCACAGACCACATAGTCACCCTCATCCTCACTCCACCTAAGAACTATCCTTTTAGTTTTCTTGGAAACCATTTTCCTCATAAAGTTTTATCTACCAATAACCTGTAGCAAAAGTGGTAAAGCATAGCATTTTCTTTATTTTTAAGTTACATTGTTATTGTTATTAAGAGCCGAGCAGGCCAGAGCAAGGTGACTCACACCACACCTGTGACCCCAGCACTTTGGGAGGCTGACAGGAGGATCGCTCAAGGCTAGGAGTTCAAGACTGCAGTGAGCTAGGATCCCACCACTGCATGTAAAAATGAATCATTTGTACCACAGAAGAGCTATACAATACCATCTTTTTCTTCCCACTTAGTCACCAAGTCCTCTAGAGCCTCTCTCCTCGGTGTCTCTGGTACCCTCCCCATCTCTGTCCAGGCCAGCAATATTTTAGACCCTCATGATCTCTGGTCTGGACACTTCCGCAGTCTCCTACCAGCCTCCCTGACTCCCTTACTGCCTCAGACCCACCCTGGGCATTGCTGGTGGAGTGAACTTGCTGAAATGCATGTTCTCTTGTACTTGTGCAGCGACTCTCCTGCCCCTCAGATACAGCCAGTCTCCTCACCATGGCGGTCTGGCCTCTGCCGCCCGCCTGCATTGGCACAGCCCCGTTCCTGCCTGTTCCAGCTGCACCGTTCTGCTCTCCTGTGGAACCATCTGCTGGGTATCCCATCCTGTTCCATAGCACCTAAGAATACCCACCCCCACCTGCTGTGTCAGCCTCATCTCAAAGATCCCTGCTAGGATGCCTTTCCTGTGTGCCCCAATAGTACTTTATGTTCATTTCTACCTCAGTACTTTTTCTTCTTGATACTTTCAGAACATGGGTCAGTTTCTAGGTCTGTCTCCTAGTGCTATCTTGTAAGCTGCTTCTCTGTGTCATCTTTCCATTCCTCCTGCCTAAGGATTTAGTTCCTGGGATGTCGTAGACACTTATAACGTACATACTGAATTAATGAAAAGGAATACATACACAAATTATTATCTTCACCTCATGAACAGCCCCAAGATTTCCCCACAAAGGTAAAAGGTTTGCTCACTAAGTTTGTCATAGCTAGAAATTAAAAGAAACTCTTTTGAGTCGCCCAATTTGAAGTTGTAAGAAGTCCATTCTTGTGAATTAAGCAAAATCAAAATATGATTTTTAAAAAAATATATCCTTTGAAAGTAGCTTACACATTTTTCATTCAAGTTCACCTTTTATCCAGCTAAGGCAGCCCCAGGGATAGAGATCTCCTGTGTGCCTCTGCGCCTCTTCAGTAACTTGGTGGAGACCCTAATGCTGCCCACTGCCTGGCTGCACCCCCAGGGTTGGGTGGAGCCTCTGAGGGCTCAGGGAGCATCTGTCACACACTTACATGTAGAATCTCTTAGCTATGAAAACTTTCCATTTTCATAGTCTTCAGTGAATTACTCTGAAAACATCTGCAACGTGCTCCTCACCAACTGTCTCCAAGACTCCTGTGCAGTGATCTTGAGCCACTGCCCCAAGAAGCAAATCCCTTCTTTAGCTGTTTTTGACATTTTTGCTTTTCCTATGCGATTCCCACATTATTCTCTTCCCTGAAAATTTTCTTTTCTCTCATATACTATTTTGTTCTTTCATTAGTCTGAGTAGATTATTTTCCTTTTGTGCTTTACTCCTAACAGTGTTCCACACAGTACTAGGGATGAGAGGGTGTCTAATATTTGTTTAAATACAGGTGACAGCACATTGATTCACTCATGCAGTGCGTATTTAATCCTTAGGCAGGAGGAATTGAAAGATGACATAGAGAAGAAGCTTACAATATAGCACAAGGAGACAGTGCTGTGTGCAAGGTCACTCTGAAGGGCACTGTGCAATTGACTTCAGCACAAGTAGAAGGGAAAAGTATCTTTTCTATGGTCTTGTTTCTTAAAGAGCTACCTCTCTTTAAGTGGGCAGATTCTGCTTGTCTATCTGAATTTTTTTCTTTTCTTTTTCTTTTTGCCTATATGAATTTTGATCAATTTTCTCAACTTCCTGAGCAAAGAACCTTATTCTCATTTTTATGCAGGCGGGCTCCTGTAGTCAATCAGGTGCCCGTGTGTGATTATCTGGAACTGCAGATGTATCTTCCTATGGGAAGAGTACCACGCTTCCCAGGCAAGCCCATATTGTCATATGAACATTCAGCCTACGGCCATCAATGACACCATCAGTATGTACACTCTGATTCCAAGTTCCAATCTGCTTAACAGGAACTTGTCTCCCTCCCAAGCCCTCAACAACACTGGAGAAAAGGGTTTCAATGGAAATCCCAGGCATCCCCAAGAGCAAGGACCATGGGGGCTACAGTAGGCATGAGAAGCTGTAGGTTGCAGACTCCGGGTGCCTATGCACACAAACATATTCTCTAGTGCAAGAATGTGGAGCGAACTGTCTGCGAAATATGCTGATGGACTAGATGGATGGCCCGTGTAGAAATATTCATATCAGAAAACAAAGATATTCATAAATAACAACCATCCCCAAGTATACATATATTAGAGATTCCTAGGAAACCAAATTTACTATGCAAAAGTTAATCCCCTCAAAAATGTGGCCATTTTCTTAAGCCAAAGATCCATTTCACTCTGTCTCCCCCTCTCTGTCCTTCACTACTTAATTTTCACCTTTCCCCCTCACTTCCTCCTCTGTGACCTCAGAGCAGGCTCCATGTGAGCTTCTGACATAATCACCACTCATTCTCCCCAGTATTGTGTTTGCTGATGTAGCCTAAGCTATAGATAGTAGAGTACATGGCTAAATTTGTCCTATAATAATTTATTAAGCAGTTGTCACACTAATAAATTATTTTTGGTTTTGAGCAATGAGTCAGTTCTTAATTAGTCATTACGGGGGATGAGGGGGCAGTCAGAATTAACCTGAAGCTCCAAATTCAAATATAATTAATGTCTAAGAAGTCATGTGGTATTTTATAATCATTTCATGAGCTAAACCAAAAATGATCCTCGAATAACAGCTTTCAATGGAAGTGATATCTCCTTTTATTTACAAGAGTTTCATAGTAGTAAAGTTAGACTTTCTGTGAGGTGGAGTCTTAAAGAGGGAATAAGATCATGGTCTTCTGGGAAATTGTTTCGAGAAAAAAAAAATTTCTGATTCACCTTTGCCCACCAGCTTGACAGCATGAAGTAGGTGTTAACGTTTTCATCTCCAAATTGCTCGGCCACATAGAGTCCCAGGGATCCGTACTTGTCATAAATGTTTCTCTTCGAGAGATCCGTAAGGATGGTGTGGGCGTTGTTGATTTCTTTAAACTTTTCAGCAGCAGCTGGATCATCTGGATTCTTGTCTGGATGATGTTTCAAGGCCAATTTTCTTTTAAAATAAAAAGGGAGGGAAAGTGTTATTTGGCAAGAATTAGGATGACTTTCAGAAGGGCCCTATTCCTTTGTAATCCTTTATTCATGCAAATACTAGGAAGTTAGTTTTATACTAGTGGTGACTTAACTAAGATAGAAGTTTCCTTTAGACGCTGTCTCTTGTTTCTAATACACAGGCACAGCAGTATCACATCTCTCCTCATATCCTCAAAGGAATTCTGTTAGCTGCATTGTCGTGGAGCCTGACATTCTGCTGTTGGTGGCAAATGTGAAGTTTCTCTTTACCTGGGAGCTGATCTGTCGCCCATCCCAACACGCAGAGGCCTTCAAGAGTTCTAGCAACAGGACCACTTCACATCCAAATTCCATTTAGAACTGGAAGAACTTTCCAGAACTAGCAGAACTTCCCATCACATATTTTAAAAGTTCGACTCAGTTACCAAAATCCCCCAAATCTCTAATTTGTACTCCCTTGTACAATATTTTGACCCCTTTATAAATCTCCACAGTCCCTGCCTCCTTTTGTTTGAGTGAATACTGTGACTTCCCTTGTATTCAAGTGAATATTTGGCTTCTTTTCAAATAGGACTTTCCACTTTAAATCATCTGTAGACATTTACTTTGAGAAAGGGCTTTCTGTCCTCTGTGAATCAGAAAGCAATTTCTGAAGGGTACTGCTGTGTGTGAAGAGGTTTGAGGTGGGATTTTGGGGGTGTCCTTTATTCTTCAGTTATGTTTAAGTGTAAAATGGATATAAGACCCCAGCTGTGACAGTCAGACTCCTGGCTGGGGGCCATGTCTCTCATTTCCCCCTACAGACAGATTTAAATAATGATTAAAGCTGTGTTCCAAATTGAGTCTGTGCTATTTTTTTTCCCTAAGAAAGTCCATTAATTTTATGACTCTCTACTGGAAATTCCACATGACTCATTCTCCCTACCGTCTCTGTCATGGAATTTCAGATGTCATGGAGTCATGTGGAATTTCCAATAGAGACATGCAGGAATATACCTTAAGCTTTTGTGTATTTATGGGTTTAAATTAAATTGTTTCATTTTAATATAGTAACAAAAATCTAGAAGTTAGGCAGTGTCTGTGGCTCAAAGGATTAGGGCGCCAGCTCCATATACCAGAGGTGGTGTGTTCCAACCCAGCCCCAGCCAAAAAAAAAAAAATCTAGAAGCCAAGCAGAAGAGTAAAGTAGATCTTATAAATCAACCAACATGAGAAACTGAACAAATTATACCCATTTTAGGACTTAAGGTGATTAGGAAGTTGATGACTATTTAAGCAGCTCAGCAACAAGATACTTAAAAAGTAGCAAAATATTTAAATACAAATATAAATCACAGTGTATAATCTCATTCTAACTCCAAACTCAGAATAAATTAAAAAACATAAAACAATGATGGTTCATTTTAAATCTATTCAACCAAAACGTTTTTTATCCTTTTTTTTTTAAACAGAGTCTCACTTGTTGCCCTGAGTAGAGTGCTGTGCTGTCATAGCTCACAGCAACCTCAAACTCTTAGGTCCAAGTGATCCTCTAGCCTCAGCCTCCCAAGTAGCTGGCACTACAGGCACCTGCCTCTATGCCTGGCTATTTTTTCTGTTGTTAGCAGAGACGGGGCCTCACTCATGCTCAGGCTGGTCTGGAACTCCTGAGCTCAAGCTGTCTACCACCTCAGTCTCCTAGAATGCTAGGATTGCAGATGTGAGCCACTGTGCCCAGCTTTTTCATCCTTTTTGAAAGATGTTTGGAGCATTTATAAATTCTCATAGATGGGACCACTTGGCAACATGTGTTTTACATGCCCAATTTCTGAATGTTTATTTTGTCATTTTTATGCTTGCTATGTGCCAGCACTATTGTAAGCATGTTATAAATGTTAATTCATTAATCCTCATAATAACCATATGAGATAGATAAAGTTGTCTCATTCTATAAATGAGGGCATTTAAACACTGAGAAGTTTAGTAACTTGCCTAATGTCACACAGCTAATAATTAAAGCCAGGTTTTGAACACAAGGAAGCTGACCTTGACCCCATAACTCTTAAGCACCACTGTATGGCCTCCCGGGCCTCCTGTATTTACATTTTAAATTTAAAAAGTAAGGCTTACAGATGTGAGTGTTAAGTAGGCGGTTGTAAGGACTTTGGCTTTAGTCTCAGTGGTGTGGAAAATCATCAGAGTGTTTTGAGAAGAACAGTGTTAGGAGGATTACTCAGTCTTGAAGAGAACAGAGGCAAGAGAGGGGAGACTCTCGGAGACTTTCCTGGTGATCCAGGCACAAGTTCATGGGTGTTTGGACCATTGTAGTAGTGGAGCATATAGTAAGAAATAGTTGGATTCTGGGTCTATTTTAAGGACTAACTGACGGATTGGAGGTGGGGTGGAAAAGAAAAAGAAGAATCAGGATGGGGGTAGTGGGGAATAGTTTGCTAGGATTTGGGAGTTCTATTCTGGACACCTTGGAGATGCCTCTTAGACTTGCAAGTGAAGATGGAGGTAGAGAGAAATGAGTTTGGAGTTCAGGCAAGAATTCCTGCAGGAAATATACATTTGGGAGTTCTCGGCAGGCAGGTATTATTTAGAACCGTGGAACCAGAGGAGATTTCCAAAACAGTGGGTCCAAGAAGTACAAGGACTGAGCTTTGGGAAGGGATAACCAGAGAAGAAAGAAAGACCAATGGTGCGGAAGGAAGAACCCAGAGTATGAGGAGCCAAGTGAGGAAAGAATTTCATGGAAAAGAGCGATCATCTGTGTCAAATGCTAACAGGTCAGGTAAGAGGAGGACTAAGAATTGACGGGTGAGATAGGAAAATCCTTAACACAAACACATACACACACATACACACAGACAACTGCAAAATAAAACAGAAAAATGAGCAGTAAAGAAATAGGAAAATGGCAGCTTATAACCAAAATTACCAGTGCTTATAACTGCACATTGGGATTCCATATTTAGTTTTAATTTCTTTGCTAAACTTAATTTTAGTCAACTAAATTTACTTAAACTAAAAACTTAGTTTTTGTCAAACTTTGTTTAGTTTTGTTTATTATAAAAATCTGTACATAATAATCCTCTGGTTTTTCCTCTTAACCATTTTTGAAGCTGTTGTCACAAATTTTATTGTTTTTGAATTGTTGGAAGTTCAAAATTTGTTCCCTTAGATGACTCATTACCAAATTAAGGAGGGGATTAAAAAAAGAAAAGGAAGAAAGAAAAGTCCTTAAACTGTAACAACAATCATCATCAAAAAGCCTTAAGTAGATGCTTTAAGCACATGAGTTCTAATGGCACAATATTCCTGGAATTCACACTCTGGGCCCTGGAATAGGAATTGCAGCACTTCCCCCTAATGGCTCCAAAGATACCATGTCCGGTCCTATCAAATGGAAGGTCTGTTACTTCTGCCTTAAAAGGAAGAAATCCCTGGAAAATGCCTCTTTACATGCATTTTTTTGTTTCTAGGGTTCAGCTGTAGACCGATGCACACCCTTCAAGCCAGGGAAGCCTGGCTTTCTGCCCCTTTTAAAGCTACTTGGATCCCTGTCAGCTCACAAGGGCAGATGCCTGCCATCCATTTATCATGCTCCCAACAATGGAGTTGGCACATTCCGAGGGCTGGAACACCTCCATTTGTAACAAATCCAATTCCTGGTCGTCAGCAGCATTTTGACTCCTCTTGGCAGATACTCTTGGCTCTGAGGAATCCTTGGGAAATGTGGTGAGCAGAGGCAGCTGCCAGAATTATAGAACTATTCAAGGAGGTGGGTAGTGCAGTGCCCCACCCACCGTCAATTGTCCATACAGCAAGAAAACACCTATGGAATTTAGGATTTAAGGAAGGGCTTGGAGTACATTTAAATAGACTAGTCATCTATTCATTTTAAAGGTATTCCTTGTCATTTCTAATTTTATGCTTAAAAAGTGACATAACTTCCAGCCAGAATGTGAGCTTTTAATTCTGAGTCTCTCTGTGCTCTTAGTCATCTGCTAATGTGGTAGGGCTATAACTAATATTAGAAATAGCATTCAATGTCTCTAATTTCCACTTCCCAATCTAATGACAGCTGTCAACTAAAATGCATAGTGAGTTCAAGGAGTGGTGGATCAGATAGATAATCACAGGGGTTATAGTCATAATGACCATAAGCCCCCAAGATCTACCTATTTTGAGGCAATGGAATAATTCTAAGAACTGTAATTCATATTTTGCCTCTTTCTCTTCCTCACCAGAGTCCCGTTAGTCTTGACTCTGACTGGGTCATCTCAGCTTCTAAGACACTTCAGTGAACGTTTGTCGAGTTGGTGGTTTGTATAATATATATGTATGTCACAATATGGTTTATACGAGGCGATGCCTAGCATATGGATACCCTCCATGAAGTCCATTTTACTCTTTTACAAATTTTTGGTTTAGTTTTTAAAATTAATTTGTAGTTTTTTTTTAAAAATGCATATTCTCTATACAAATTCTTTGTTGGTTATGTGTCTTACATCTTCTCCCATTCTAGGGCTTTGTTATTGTTACTGTCTTGACAGGAGCTTTTGGCGGGCTGAAGTTCTTAATCTGGTTAAATAAATCAACCTGTTCCTGATTTCAGGAAGATACTGTTTCATAAAATCTTTGTAACTTTAAAATCTATATCGTTTTGTCTTTCCTATGGAGGTCTGTGGCTCACCGGTAGCTGACTTTTTAATGTGGTAGAAGGTCGTGTTCAATCTCACTCATTTTATGTAGATGCCCACCTGTTGTAGCACTTCTGCTGCATTGACTCTATAGATAAATTTGGGCTTGGCACCCATAGCACAGTGGTTACAGTGCCAGCCACATACATCAAAGTTGGCGGGTTCAAATCCAGCCCGGGCCAGCTAAACAACAATGACTGTAACAAAAACTAGCTGGGTGTTGTGGCAGGTGCCTGTAGTCCCAGCTACTTAGGAGGCTGAGGCAAAAGAATTGCTTAAGCCTAAGAGTTTGAGG